TCGAGACCCGTCAGAAAAACCTCGGTGTATATCATTAAATACATGTTTCAAAACTCGAAACTATTAATAAGACCATATTAATTATATATCCATTTGTTTTCGCTATCGGTTTTTTTTATCGGTGTTTTACTATATTTGTTCATGTACAACAGATGGATCGGAGAGTTTCCATATAGAAACATAGTTTAAAATAGTTTTCCATAGTTGGAAATAGTTTCCATTATGTAATAGTTTCATAGTGCATTTTCTTAGTCTACACCCTTCATTCGGTTTTATCAGTTCTGAAGGAAACGCAAGAAGAGACTTACACAAGCCCATCGACTTATTTACACCGTTATATTGAAGAACATTAAACGGATTGACAATAATAAATAATAAATGGCCCAGATAATCAAACGGAAACGTGTGCCCGAAAAGGTAAAACGTACGGAATCGTGATTTACCGCTGTGAATTCGGATGTCCGAAACGAGTTTCACCGGAGATCTCGGAAACGTTTGTTCTTTTGGGCGCGGGCGGATTGAGGCGAGTCGTTTCGACCCGGGAAATACGAATCCAACCGGCCAGCGAACCTTCCCAATCGTGGTCGCGAATATAGAATCAAATTTCGGAGAAATGGCGTATTTAAGGGGCGAGCTATTAAAACCGGGACTATCACTCGGGATGTCCCCGACAATTTATGCCGGGCGATCTATTTAAGTGGGTACACTCGTTGTCTCGGAAAGTCGGAGGAGAGTAGAATGGTGCACATTATTAACACACCGCGCGCCGTACCGCCACACAAACGATACTCCGCTATACTCTCATCCGACCCAAATCTAAAAGTGGTATATCTCGTCAACGGATTGACGGAAATCGAAAATGTCAGCACTAAAATTTATTTCGACTTATTACCCCGTCTATTTGTGGAACTTTTAACATAGGTTGCCGTTTGAAAACTAAAAGTGGCCGATGGTTTTATCCCCGAAAATAAGCGTGACAAAAAATGACAAGATATAAAATTGTATAGCAGCTATTGTTTCTTAAAAATGTTCTGGAAAACAAATTCCGCCAGAAAAATTCAATACATTCCGAGGTAATGAATAACGAACCCACTTGAACGGATCATGCCTGGTTGTGGCCCGCGGAACACGCCGGGAAACGCAGTTTCAAGTCCTTAAGCGTACGTTCAATAAGAGCGGAAAAATATATGCCGAAAATTCGAAAATCTTTTAATCTTTAGATTTTTATTTTTGTTCGTTAGACCGTATTGGGTACACGTACACATATTACAAAGATTTCCGGTGTGGGCGCGCGGCATAACCGTCGCACGAGAAACGAAATCGACATTATGACGGAATAATATTATTGCTGTTGCGTTCGACGAGACGGTTATTCGGATGACTGCCTTAATAAAAAAAAAAAAAAAAACCGAATAAATCGGGGTTAAGGGAATATCCCGACCCGCGGCGACAATGCGAAAACGACGACGGTCGTAACAACAATATTCCGCGGTGAGCCGGTGACGGTCGTCGTCGTCGCCGTCGTCGCAGCCGCCGCACGTCTAAATTCGGACCGTCGCGTCGCCGTGGTCGCGGCCGTCCGTAGCCCGCGGGCTCCGCGCCGCGGAACAATGGAGGAGCCGCCCACCCAACGACTGTCGACTAATGAAGACATAATTTTCTGTTTGTACGTCGTGGTCCGAGTCGCCGCGATCGCCGCGGCCACTGCGACGGTCCTTTGTGTCCCCGACAAATATCCCCGCGCGCTTGTGCCGTCCGGAGGTATAACGTCCGACGACGTCCGGTCGACGTGCACCGCAATACGTTATTAGTGCCGTTGACGACGTTACGCGCAGTGCGGCCGCGTACTGTATAATAACAGCCGCGTACGAAAACGTACAACAATAATAATAATAATAATAATAACGTACCGGAGACGGAACGAAACGCGCCAGCCGCTCGTGGCCGCTACAGCCGACGGTCCGCTCCGCCGCCGCAGCCGAAGACATGACTGATGGGACCGGCGGCGGCGGCCGGTTCCGAGTACTCGGAATCCGAACGGACGAAAGATAATGGTACGCGATGTTATTGCGTACAGATAGGTCCTCCGGCGTCCGCGATTTTTTTTTTTTTTTTTTTTTTTTTAATTTT